CAGCGAGTGAAGACGACGAAAGGGGGACTGACACAAAGTTTTTTCTTTACGCTTCTCCACACAACAAGCAACAATAACACGAAAGCCATGAATGACAGGGAAACACGGGGAAGTTACACTAAGGACGGTAAGGCACACACACGGAGGGTAATTACACAATGGCCCAGACGCAAGGATCAGGCAAGAATCGAGTACTAACACAGTTAAAAGTACATGTGACAACCGCGGCCACACAGCCCAAGTACCTACACTAAAAAATACAAACAGGGGCTATATGTCACGCCCTGCATCCCTGCCCCTCTTGTTCTCTCCCTAGCTACTAATTTGTCTAACCTCTGGTTTCAAAATTCATGTGACTCACTCCAGCTGCCTCTCCTCTGCTCCCTCGTTAGTGGTGTATGATTGCCTCTTAGTCCTGTGCTCCCCGGTTTGGTCATTGACGTCACTCTCTGTTTTGCTCCTTAGAGTGCGCAATGCCTGGTGATTCTGCCTGATCCTCCCTGCCCCGTTTTGACTCCTCGTGGTCTATTTCCTTTGCTCTGCCTGCTCTGTTCCCTTTAATAAAGCTCTTTTTGGTATTTCCCCACGCCTGCCTTTGCGTCTGTCCTTGCCTGTGACGTGACACCATACACAGGAGCTCACGAGGCATGCAGATACTGCCGGTGCTACAATATTATATCGTATTTGAATTATACATAGTTCAGTAATTTAATTTGTACAGGACTGTAATTTGAAAAGCGTTTGAAACAACTGTATTGTATTTTGAAACAGTCAGTAAAATTTTGTAAATAGCGACGTTGACCGTTCAATTACCTTATATCCATGTAGCCTAAGTATAGAAATATCAGTTGGATGGTAATCTGCCTGAGACATAAAGAAAAAGGGGAAAAATCGGTTATAACGATAATCTATTTCACCCAGGCAAACGTGATTGCTGTAAGTGGATTCTACTGTATATAAATGTATGCAGTCAACCGTAGATTTGATCGAGTCACATGTGCACCGACAGTGAGGGCCAAATACAAAAGAAATTGAGGGGCTTTCCCAGTGTCAATACAGACAATTAAAGGTAATCAGCCATTTTATGAAAATGTATGCAAATACATGAGATGAGTTTAATTTTCTATAATTGTTAAGGGTACAGGTTTGGCAGATGGTCTAAAGCCATTTACTACTTGAATAGTTTAATGCTTCAATATTTTGCGGTTCACTGAGATCGGCAACGCATGCGTGTCTCAATCCCACGGTTAGCTCAGATCCTGTAGTGACATGCACTATTTAAAGATACACGCGGTGCAGCATAAAGCATGCTGATAATACGCGTAATCGTCCTGCTGACCAACCCCGTGGTGTCACATTTATGTCAGCCAATCGTGGAAAGGGTGTGAGATGAGAGCAAACGAAAGAGTTCGCCTTGGGGACCAGGCACAGGTGGTGCAGATAAACGGTGATCATTGCAGCGATGATGACTCATACAGCATCGTCTTGCTAAAATGACATCGATTCTGTCGATTTCATCTGCAGTATACGGCCCCCTTTAGAACACCTACATTTTTTCAATTTTTATTAAAATGTACACAGTTTAACGTCTTAATGGATTGCGAAATTAATCCAACAATAACAAATAAACAATTGGAAATAAATGAATCGCAGAGTGGTTTTTTTTTAACATAATTTTATCTAAATTTTTGATTCATCAAAGCTGCCACCTTTTGCAAATATAAAGAGCCAAACACAATCGTGGCATATTCTTTATACAATAAATATCAAATATTCGGCCATCCCACCTAAGGCACATTGATTTCAGTGAGGTGTGATGAGAGACACCCAGGAGGGGGAGAGAGAGTTATACTTTATCGGGAAATACCGGAAGGGGGGGGAAGGGGTTTCGGGTGCTGGCGGTAAAATTTGCCAACTGGGTGGGCAGGGTTGTAGCTAATTTTACCCCTGCTGAATAGCGGAATGTCAGACTTCTGTCCTGTTCCTCCCAATCCAGCTTGATGGGGCTCCATCCATGTATGTCCTATTATTTGATGCCCACTGCCCAGTGCCGCCTTCTTTTCTTCTAAGCTGGTTCTGACATAGCCCGGAGGTTTTGGGTCACCATATTTCTGTAGGATGAACCAACTAGATGTAGACCTGGGGATACTTGATAGCCATTGTAAAATGGTGTGGTAGCCCTTTTGGATCAGGGTGACAGTCTCTCTGTGCAAGTCCTCCTGTCAGAGTTTCCTCCAGTTTCCAAATGCCTTTTGTTGGTGTAGGACAATGCTTCCCAACCCAGTCCTCTGGGACCCATTGGATAGTTCACATTTTTGCTCCCTCCCAGCTTCTGGTAGGAGCAAAAACATGGACTGTATAGGGGTTTCTGAGGACAGGGCTGGGAAACACTTGTGTAGGAAACTGTGCTCACTGACACATTATATGATAATTTAATTTAATTTAATCATATAGTTATATAATGTTATTAATGTAAATTAAAGCTGTTAAGGTATATTAGGATGTTAAGGTATACGTACATGCTGCTTATGAATGTTCTGTGACTGCCTTATGAAGATGCACTGTATGTTCTATGAATACATTATTAAAGCAGTTAATGTAAAGTATGACTGAATGTCTTATGTTGCACTTGAGGTCTGTGAATAGGTTCTTGCTTTTTTAGAAGCTGCTTTTGCTCCAGTACTGCGTACACTTGTACCTGGGCCTTCATTGGATGGCTATTTGCTTCACTTTACATTGCTTTGGACAAAAATGTCTGCCTAATGTATAAAATGTAATACAGACCAATTGATTATAGGTAATCAGCAAAAGTATGGACACCTGTAGAGGCTTCATTTCAGAGCTTAGTTTGCTTCAATTGCTTCAATTGATGCTTCTCCCCAAAGGGACCACACAACAAGCAACAATAAGTTGTTAAGTTGGTAACATATTACTTGTTTCCTTAAAGGGCCTTTCTTATAAGTCTGAAATTTACGTTATTTTTCAGTTTTGGTGACCTTTTCTTAAATCTCTGGCAGTTTACGGCTTGCCTTTGTACCATTTCAGGTTGCTCACTGGACTTGAACAGCTAAAATTTCAATAACACTGGAAAAATGGGGGTGTTTCTGAATCTTTTAACCAATAGCTTGAGTAAATCTGTGAACGATGACTCATCAGACAGCATCACATTTTCCTTTCCTCAGCAGGGTTTATGTATTTGTGCACTGGCCTTCAGTAGCAGCCCTGCTGTGAAACCTATGAAATTCAAGACAAATTTTGAGAGACTGAGCTATAGAGGTGCTGATTCGGTGCTCATTTTGAAGGCCATACCTTTGGCAGCTGTATTGTTAAGTGTCACTTTATCTTAAGACCACTATTGCTTTTTGCTGGTAGTTTGTTCATGTTTGGTATATGCTGTACTCACTTTTGAAGCTATTTCCGTTGATACATTAAATAATATATTATTCATGTATAATATATATTTATATTATATATAAATAAAACTTGCCTTTCAAACTGAACCCTCTAAACATTTGGACCAAAGACGGATTGCTTGTTGTTAAACAGTGAAATGGTATAAACAGATAAAGCATGAATATAAGCATGAATATATACACATAGATATATATGTGGGTGTGGCTCACCAGGTTAGGACTCTGTGCCTGTGATCGGAAAGTCACTGGAAAGTCACTGGAAAGTCACTGGAAAGTCACATGTCCGCTGGGCCCTTGAGCACTGTGCTCCAACCTCAAGCCTCCCTCACAACTGTATATGTGTGTATGTCTCAAAGCAGAGCAAGATGGGGAACGTAAAAAGAAGCACTCCAACGTACCTGCACTTGAGCAAATGGCAAATAAAGCATTGTTTCATTATTATTATTATTTCAAATTTAGATTTTTGGACATCCTGTTTTATGCCAGATTACGCCTTTTGAAGAGAAATTGTCTAGTGTCATGATTTCGTTCACAGAACAGCAGTATACGTTCAACTGTTCTAAATTTGTGCCCTGTAAATCATACTGAAAGCACCAAGATCAAATTAAACTTTATATGTTATACTGCAGATTGTGTAAGAATGCATATATGAAATTAAACCTTGGGTGTAGCGTAAATATCCAATATGTGTATTTAGCTACTTGTAACTAATATAAAAATACTATTTGTAGTCGTAATTATAATTTGGACATAATATATTCATGGTGATCAAATAATGAAGTAGTCCCAATACCCTAAAACATAGATCTTAATATTTTATCCAAAGAATTCGAAAAACTAGCTAGCTCAGTAGCTCCCCCTATATAGCTTTATCATTGGCTAATAAGAAATGGCAAGATATGATGTCATCACAAAATGCTTCCTGACCCGCCCACCTGCCCCAGTTACCAAAAATGCTTGGCTTGACATAGACCACGTGACACCTTCAGATCTAGGTTTCCCTTTAGACACGCCCACCCAGCATTTTTTCATCCAACCACAGGAGATTGGCTCAATTGACAGTAATTAACAAGTCAATCAAGGTGGCAAGCAGGTCACTGGAAGTGAACGCAATTGTATTAATAAGCTCTGTGATGAGATTAAATGAAATTCCCAACTTTATTCAGTAATCGAGTAGCCCTTATATTATTGGTCAGCTTCTCAATATGCAAATTGGAGGCCAGACGTCATTTCCTGGTTATCGCGAGCGCCATTTTTCCTTTCAAGGGAAGGGTGATGCAGCATAATAAAAAAAATAGGAGCAACTGAAGCTTGATAATTGTGCAGTTTTTAGTATCATCGGCGACGGCACGTCGTTTTGGGGGAGCACGAGGGCTCGGTGCGCACAACGGTTTGAGCCCGTCCTACGCTGACACCGGCGAAGAGGAGCTCGTGGATTGGTGAGAATAGACCGTGAGCGAGCGCGAGCGCTGCCCGCGCGCACTAGGAAACGCCGCCCGTTCGGCTGGCCAACTAGCTGCAGGAATGGGACGCTAAGGCAGACCTCTGGCACACCGAGGCCGGCCCCTCGGCGCAGGTAGCCGGCAGGCTAGTCAGATAAAGCAGCTATCTGGCGTTCACAGTTGTTACTGCAAATCCGTGGCTGTGTGTTAGCATCCAGGCTCGCCAATTTATATACGATGTTTCATGTCTTTTTTTTCCCTCCTTTCTTCAGTATGAAATAGTACACTGAGTTTGTAGATCCCTTTTTTATTTTGACTTTCTGGTGGTACAAAGTAGTAAAGCTGTTAAACTTTACTACTTTTAACCAAATTTGTGCGCGCTGGGCGAACGCAGAGTTTGTGGATGAAACATACTTGCGATGCATATTTTAAAGAGACTTTTTTTCTCGAAACTCCCGACCAAAGCCAAGAAAGACTGGGTTTCAAAATCACAGCATCTTAACTGTAATTAGGAAAAATCAAAGTCTCCTGCGGCAAGAGTTAACATGTCTGCCTAAGTGCAATTTTTTTGTATTTGCGCTTTAGCTATATGGTCAGGATGACTAGCACTCAGCAGTGCATTTATACAGCTTTTGACGTTATTTGACACTTACCAAATTATTTTGAGATGCCTGTAGCTATTGAAAAACTCTGACTTTGCACTGGTAAGTGCAAATGTGTGCAATATAACAAACACCATTATATAGCCACTTTGGCACAATGCAAGAAGTTTTGGGAACGGTAGGCTTAAATGTCGAGCATGCTTAGGAAGTAACTTTGCCTCCAAGCCCATGGAAGTAACGGTCGAGGTATGAGTGAGGGATACAAGTTAATATCTGTTTCCATTGGACACGTTTACGTTTTTGGGGGGTGATGAGAGATCTGTCCAGAGTGCTGGAATGTCAACACTCAAAATTTGATCATGTGAGGTCTGAGTATGCTATATAGGTAGACAGTATTTTATCAATCTCATAGACTTCACGTGCATTTTTGTTTTTGTAATCACTATCATTGTTCACTGGTTTGTGGTATGCCTGATAAATTGTTTTTACTCTGTACAATCTGAACTGTATTTGTTTGGAAAATGAACGTGTGAGTGGTGTTCAGGTGTTCATATATTTAATATACAAAGGTTATAGGTTCAAATCCCAGCAAGCCCACATAAATTTTAACCCTATTCTCTGCTGTGAATTGCTTTGAAAATTCTCATTATCTGAAAAGAAATGTGTAGTGCAAAATCATCCAACATGATGAATTCTGTTTTTTATTTTTTTTTATTTTACACGTTTTGATTTTTTTTCCCACTGTTGATTTTAAGTAAATTCAACAATGTCATGCATTATGTACAACATTTAATTCTAGGTCAGTTGTTTGTACCAGTTTTGATGCATATTTTTACAATGAAGCATAATGTGATGGGTAAAGCACTTAAAAAGCAAAGTCATCTTATAAAAAAGGCATCCAAACAGGAGACTTTGAGGTGTGGGTGTAATAAGGCCTTGCTGCATTCTCCCCATCTGTCAGAGCATGAAGCTGCCTTTGATTGGTATGAATGCTGTCCAATCAGTTGATGCCATCTGGCTGTAGTGTCTTCTGATTGGTTTGGGCTGCTGGGAGGAGTAATTGTTTCATTTCCTATGTTGATAGTAAATCACACGAGTCATTAGAGTTTATCTGGCTTTAAATTGGCTAGCCTGTAATTAATAATGGAGCTCAGGTGTTTAGACGATTCAGAAAGTACTGTGATGAATAAAATCTTGTACTTTTTACTCTGAGCACTGATGTCCCAGTCTGTGAGAAGCATTAATTGCTATACAGGAACAAGCTAAGTTGACTTCTTTGAACGTTGCTGTAAGTTACATCAATGTGCATTTCAATTAATTAATCCACCAATTAAAATATCTCAGTCATATATAAAATGTCTGAATTCAGAAAAATACTGTGGTTATCTTTTGATTGTTGCCAGATTTTGGAGATTGACTGTGAATTTTAATCCCGAAACTGATGTCATAATTCCTAGGTTAATTAACTCTTGTGGGCTCTGGGAATGCACACAGGAATTACAGTACTGAAGACTAATGCGGTATATACAGATTTTTGCTTAGTTAAAAAAAAAAAAAAAGGTTAATTGTCTGTTTTTGTTATAGGCAATAAAAGATGTATCAGCTTCCTGTGGAAAATTTGGAAAGAATAAGAAAGCCAAGAAAATCAGTAAAAAATATTCTGTATGATATTGGACTTGACAGCTGTAAAGTCTTACTGGAGGTAAGTGTTTTCCCCCTTGCATTCATTTACATTTATATTGAAGTCACATGCATTGAGGTAATATGCCAGTTAAAGTGTTGTCTGTTAAAATGTTTTGCCTCCCTCTCTAGTGAAGTTCAGATCGGATTTTGACTTGGGTTGCTGCACTTCCTTGTTCAGTATTTTAACAATTTTTGGCTTGTCCAGACTAACCATCTGAGAGCTGTCTGGCACAAAGACTCAACTATACTTACATCTTGACTATTCTGTCAAGGTTTTAGATTTGCTCTGGAATGGGAGCAGCTGTGTGGTTTAATTACACTTAATGTGCTCCAGAGGCTGTGACCTGAACACCAGCCAATCGTGCCGTCTGTTACTGAGGCACAGCTACGTGCCAATCCTACTGTTACCGAGGCACAGCTATGTGCCACACTGGGTTTTAACGGGGGAATTTTCTTAATGGGATTTGTTTTATGGAGACTGAATGGAAAATATTGTGCATCTTGCATTGTTTTCATTGGGAAATAATCATTCACATTTCACTTGATTACATTGTCTTTGTTGTCAGATCAGTTGTTGTGAAAGGTTTCTGCAAGTTTTGCGAAAGCTCAGTGTCTCTCCTCTCCCCCCTATGGCAGGAGCTTCAGAACTCTGACACTAATGAGAAAACTTTCCATGACACTGCGTGGGTGGATTTCACAGACGGCTTTAACGGAAAGCGCCGGAAAAAGGTATGTTTGAATAGAATTTAGAATTTAGTGATCAGTGGTCATTGTCAACACACCACAGCACACAGTGCGCAACAACGAAATGTGTCCTCTGCATTTGACCCATATGTGACTTTCGTGACATAGCAGGGGGCAGCTAATTCAGCGCCCGGGGAGCAGTGATTGGGGACGGTACCTTGCTCAGGGTACCTCAGTGGTGACTTGCTGGTGGGGGATTTGAACCTGCAATCTTTCAATTACAAGTGCGCTACCCTAACCATCAAGCCACCACTGCCCACGTGCATAGCTTACTCAGGAAAAAGTACAGAGGATATGATCTGTGCATAGATTATGCTTAAGGAGAAACATGTCGCGTACGTCACAGTTTCCCTGTCATCCTTCATTCACTTAGGTGTGCGATTAACTTCCAACAACATCATACCTGTTGGATATTGTAGCCTCATTCTCTGGAGCTGTAGGTCTGTGCAGTACTTTATCCTGCAGTCCAGAAACATACAGTAAACATGCAAATTGACATTTCTAAACTGTAGATAGTGTGAGGGTCTATGTGTGCCCACTGATGAAATGGTGTCAGTGGATATTCCACAGATGTTTGCAGTATGCTTCCTGGGACCCTGTGCTGGATGGATGGATGGATGGATGGGCTACTTAAAACTGACAAACCATTGTTGTGTGTATTAGTTGCTGAATTACATTATTTTGTATAGTATAGTACTTTATGATTGTTTTGGTTGTTCCAAATGTCCAGGTGTGCAAAAATCTTAGGGAGTACTATATATACTTCTTTAATCCATACACGTGTTGAGGCAGTATTATTTGTGGTGTGTTTTAGCATTATTGCGAAATGTAAAATTGGTTTGATCGCGTTATTTTTGGTCACATTGCTCTTTAACTACAGATAATGCATAAGGCTGGAAGTGAAATAGCTGCTGTTTCTCCTCCCCTCCTTTCAGTGGCGCTATCGCAGTCAGGCCCTGTGCTGCAACCTCTGCCGGTTCTCTGCGCGGACCTGGAACGGCTACCGGAACCATGTCCAGCGATGGCATGCAAGAGAGCTGAGCCTGGGGCAGCTCATCAACTGTCCTGTGTGCGCATTCGTCGGGCACCCGAACGTCCTCGCCAAGCATTTAAGAATCTTCCATGGCACCTCCACGAAGTCCGTTATGCACGGGCCAGCGTCCACGTCGGCACCTATGGTCACGGGTATCGGCAACGTGGACCGGTACACATGTCGAAGATGTGCTTATCAGGATTCCCTGCTGTATTGCATGAAGAAGCACATCTTGGTGAATCACTACGTCTCGCTGCTGGACCGTTACTTTGGACAGCGGACTGAGCGCGAGCAAAACGCCAGCAATCCCAAGGGCTCCAAGTTTTACTGCAAGGTGTGCCTGCTCTGTGCTGAGAGCTCAGAACATCTAATCTACCACATACTGTCGTCCGATAAGCACAAAGAGCTGGATGTGCACATTTCCACCTTGGTGTATGAGCACCCTAAGAGCGCGAAGAAGCAGCTGCCCAGTTTAGCACCTAAGGCTATGCAGCAACCTGTCTACAGTACTTCTCTGGTTCCTGCGAAAAACGACCATCAGGCTGTGAAGACTCTGGCTCTTCAGCGGTCCGACGCAGGTCCCGTCACCGGTGCGACCCTGAGCGGCACGATACTGCATGGGACTCCTCAAAGCACGACTACTCTTGTATGTGCCCCGGGGACGAACCAGGCCTTTCTGCCGGCCCAGGCCTCCGCTCTGGTGCAGCTGGCCAGCGCAGAAGCCAAAGGCTTGCTGCGACCTGGTTCGGTGATGGCCGCTCACCAGAACGTTCAGCCGACGAGGGGCATTGTGGCCACGCTGCCCACCACGATGGGTCTGGCCAGCCCTCTGGCTGTAAATTCAGTGGGTGCGTCCCTTTCGACTCTTTCGCAGAACGCCCCCAAGCCTCTACCCATCGCTGTGGGGGTACCTGCACAACCGCAACCTAGACAGGTCCTGTTACCCCCAGGTGTCCAAGTCAATGTCCAGGGGAGCATAGGATTGCGAGCACCGGGGCCGCCGCCGCTCCTGGTGACTCAGAGACTCCCCCTGAACCAGCCCCCCCCCAGGGGCACCATGCTTACGTCCCAGTCTCTCCTCAGCCACCTCATCCCTACTGGCAACAAAGTCAACGGCTTGCCCACCTACACCCTGGCGCCCCTGCAGGTCACCATGCCAGTCCAGTCTGGCAACATTCAGACAATCGCCAAAGGAGCTGTGCCCGCGGTGGCAGGTAATCCCACCGTCCTCCCACCACCAGACAAACCCGTCGCCGAATCCAATCTCATTTCCCCTCCTGCTTCCAAAGAAGCCAAGAAGTGGATCACGTGTCCGATTTGTAACGAGCTTTTCCCTTCCAATGTCTATCAGGTGCACATAGAGGTGGCTCACAAGGCAGCATCCAAAAGCAAGTTGCAAGGATTAGCCGCCCGCGCACCCTTCTTAAAGAAGATGCCAGATAAGACCGTCAAATGCCTGATGTGCAAAATCCTGCTGTCGGAAAAAGGTCTCTTTGAACACCTGCTCCATGGCTTGAACTGCTTGTACTGTCCTGGAATGTTCTACTCCATAAAGCAGCTAATAGAACATACCAACACTGAGCACACCCCATCACAGAAGGCGAGTTGTGACTTCATGAGGCGGGAGTATCGGCTCTACACTGACGACCACGGCAATCTCCTGTTTCCCTATTTCGACATAAACACGACCGCCCCTAAAGAGCTGCTCGGTGACCATGAGCTGAACTTGGCTCTCGTCACAGGGTCGCTAGATCTGATCTTCCTGAAGATGTTCCCGGCATCTGTCCAGCCGGTGTGCCGGTCGGTCATGAAAACCACCAGCACCGACTGTCCTTTCTGCTCTGAGAAACTTCGAAGTGAGGATGCTTACCATGAGCATCTGAAACTGAAACACTGCATAATGCCCACCATCCATGCCATCCTGAAGACCTCTGCTTTCAAGTGTATTTACTGCAGTGGAGTATACACAGGGAAGACCACGCCCAAGGCCATCTCCATCCATGTTCAGCGCTGCAGGTGTGCACCCAAGACCGCCAAAGATGTAGAACGGCTAATAAACCCAGACCCCAAAAATCAGACATTGCTGACTGTAAACAAGGCTGACCAGAGACTCTCTCTGGTCACCCGGCCACGGGGCTCTACAGTAACTTCAGCTCAGCAGTCTCCAGAGAAGGACTCTGACAGACAGAACAAACTTAGGCTGGAGATGGCCGTCAGGGAGGCGATGGAGGCCAACAAGAGAGAGCGGGATGCGAGGGCAGCCAAGAGGCAGCAAGTAGAACCACCGAGGAACGCCGTGCAGCCCGATCTCTCCGTGCCTCTTGTGCTGGACCCTACAGGAGTCGAAAAGCATTCCTTCGAGGAGCGGAAGGATTTCCTCACCGAATATTTCAATCGGAAACCTTACCTGAGCAGGCAGGAGGCCGAGGCCCTGGCCAGCCGCCTCTGGTTACACAGGGGAGACGTGGCCTGGCACTTCGGCACCAAGCGCGCCAGGTGCATGAAGGCGATCCGGAAAAACCGAGTCGCGATTCTGCTGGGCTTCAACATGGCTGAACTGAAGAAGGTGAAGCACGACCTTCTCATCCCGAACGTCGGTTCAGAGAAAACTGCTGCTTAAATAAGTACTAGCTGACTGTTTGTTTAAAAAAAGAAAAAAAAAATACATGTGTATAGTATATAGATATCACTTTTCTATAAAATATGTGGCAATGTTTCCTATCAGATGTGAAGTATATTAACAGTTTAGAACTGTGGAAAAATTCACGGGGGAAATGCAAATGTTACATGCTGTAATCCTTCATTTCTGCATCTGTCTTGTATATTCAAAAGTTTGAATCTAAGTTGGCTTTTTTTTTTGTTTTTCAGCAATAATTTTGAAATGACTCATTAGTTGAAATGTACCTTGTTTACGATATAAGAACCTGCGTTGGCCAGTGTATTCCAATTATCCCAACTAATGCGTGTTGTTATAACACACTTTTATGTTTTACATGTGAGGATTTTTTTTTTGTATTTAATCTTATTATCGACAATTAAACCCATATATTTATTTTCTTCCCGCTTCATTTTGGTGGCTTAACCAAAATTTTTAAAAAGTAAAGCACAAACTTTGCAGATCCATTAACGAAACAGAATTGCTAGATGGTGATAGTGGCAACTTTTTTTTATATATACCTGTCAAGGACGACTTCACTAATCTCACACCGTAAAGGTCTCACGCGCTACACGTTTCCTGTGTGATAGGCGAGCTTCTCTTCCTCTCACCCTGTATTTGTAGCGTGTGCCATGTGTTTGGCAAACGCAAGTCTCTGTGTCACCAGCTGAACAGCGATGGCACCATTATCGAGTTTAAATCTCATGTCACTTTCAGTGGTGCTTGTTGTAAGTTGTTTAGGCCAATTTCTGAAGACTCACGTATTTCCTTTTATAAAGTAATATGTATATTTAAATACATGTTAAATGTTGGTGGCATTGCAGTGATGGATATCAGCATTTTTCCCCTCCACTGTTGTCGTTTTCTACAATGACTGGATAGAGGTTTGTGAAATTTGCACTTTTCCCACTGTAACTTACAAGTTAGATTATTCCCCGTCATCCAACAAAGCAAAAAACTTCGTATGGCAGAAGTTTTATTTTAAGTCCTGAAACATGTGCCTCCATCTTTTTTTCTCTCTCTCTCTTTTGACCAAAAATTGTCAAGCAATTGGGGTGCTGCTCAACTATACTCCAGCCTCTGTCCGTCTCCTGGTCTTTCTGTCAGATTATTATCAGTCAAAGGGGGAGTATCGTGCACTGTACATGTCATAATGCTTATTTATATTTGCAAAGAACCATAATGGAGAAATTAGAATTGGGTTCATGAAGATGGTTGGTAAACATTGTCAATATCCTTTTTATAGTTTGTGTTCATACAGATATCTTACATTATTTATGTACAAATATATAACTTATCAGACTGCAGTAGTGCCCCCTAGTAATTGGAGTACAGGTGCTCTGCTGTTTTTGTAACTACAAACTTGTGCTTTTTATTATATAAGGAAATCTGTTGGTTTTTGAAACCTGACAGGGTGACACAAATGTTCAGCTTTGATTTATTTTCACTTACCATTTAGTCTTTTGAGTTGCTATATTCATGTGCACCTGCTCGACAGGACCGATCAGTGAATCTGACAAGTCCGGAGAATATTTTTTAAGCTGAATGACATGGGACTTCATACAACTGCCTAATTTGCATCTTGATTTCTGGAGGGAATGCGATAATCCCCCTCACTACAGTTAGCCTGATCTGCTAATGTTTTAAGCATTAGCCCTCTTTTAAAATGGAACTTCTGAAGTGATTCAGAGGGTCACCAAGTTCAAATTAGATCAGTGGTAAATCTGCATCAGTTTGGAACAAATCCTAATACTTATAAGCTGTGACAGGGTCCATCCGTACGACGGACACCTGTAAAGGTCTTTAAACAATCCTGTGTGAGAATCTGAAGAGATGAGTCTTCAGTTGTAAGTGTCCTAAATAAGATGATCCACTTATAATTGGCGGTTGCATGTATTTGCATCACTGTCTGGTTGACTGTTCATACATATTTGCTTGTTAAATTATTTTAATTGTATTCTCCAAAGCGTATTTCAAGGTTGGCACATGCCTGAGTTTTTCCCTTAAGCAGGAAGAAATATTTGATTTCACAAATAAATGCCTTGCCCACACGCTGCTTGATCATAACCTTGTCTTGTTAGTAACACAGCCGTTCATGTCGCATTTCCATTTCCCCTTTTCTGTCAGTTTTATACAATTCACTTTTGTCAGTATACAGACTGGTAAAGTGTGAAATAAAGGGTTGTTAAATTTGTGGAATGATTAAAGGACTTCTAATTAGAAGGAACCACGTTCAGGGATTTATTTGTGTTATTTGAGCATCCGGAGATGGGGGTGGCAAGACTCAAATTATCTTATTGGACTTTTATTAATCACTAGATTGATTGTATTTGTAGGAAACTGGGAAAAACATGTTGCAAGAAGTATAAATGATGCTGTCTGCAAACTGTCATCATATTACCAAGTTACATTTACAATTTTATAACACTCAAATGTGATTACATTAAAAGACAGGGTACCTCCTGCTTCTGTTTTCTAAGCCTTGAATATTTGGTATTATAGAAAGTTCTTTAATTAAATTATTTATGTAGAACTGCCACAGCACTGATTCACACACCAGCAAGCGAAATGCTGAACAGTTTATGAGCTAAATAAGTACTGTTGTGTGCAGATCCATGCAACCTAAAATATGAGAAATAACATGCCGTTACCAAGGACACTAACAATCCATGATTTTTCCAGGGTTCTGGTGATCTTAGCGCCTTATCCCAGGACGTAGAGTGCTAATAGCGGTGTACACTGAGAATGGGATCGCAAACATAATCACATGCTGAAGGCAAGTGGGAGACACTAGTAGACTTGTAGTCAAGACCGCCTAAACCAAGACCAAGACACTACCAAGACCAGAGGGTATCAAGACCAAGACAGACCGAGTCAAGACAAAGTCGAGACGAAACCAAGACTGAGACTCAAAAAAGACTCCCATTTTGTGTGCTGTTGAGGACTGACATGATGGGTACTGACTGGTCCCAAAGTCATCTGACAAAACAGCTAACACCTCCAACAACTGTCTAAAGGATGGGAAATATGTAACCGATTTCAGTTATACTTAATTTGTAGATGAAATTGTAACATCAAATTGAAGATACATAATTATAAACTTGAAATTGCATCATGTCCCATTGTAGTAGTACTAGCAAAATGATGCTGTATGATATCAACTTCCCTGAAATGGATTAGGCCTGTTAAGTCAACACAACATGATGGCAGCGTGTGGCTCAGTGGGCTAAGCCGTGTGCCTGTAATCACAACATCGCCGGTTCAAGCACGTATGCGGATCCTTGAGCAAGACCCTCAACCCCCAGCTCCCTGGGCACCGCTACAGGTGGCTGCCCTTCACAGACAGCTTGCTCTAAAAAGAGCAAGTTGAGGGAGGCATAAAAAGAATTTCCCCACAGGGATTAATAAAAGTGTCAATTATTATTATTGATATGTAGATGTTATTTAAAAGTCAATGGTCACATTTATTTAGTCAAACAACACCATTTTAAGTAAAATACTGTAATCAAACAATACAAAGACATGCGCACACCTCACATGAATCAAATGCTAACTACAAATATTATATACCAATACAAACTGCACATCAAATTGTGCATTAATAAGAATAAGGACAAGTGCTTAAAAGACATCTTGATGTCTGCAGTGGCATGTAATTACACATTTAATTAGCGTTTAACTAGCGCTACACTTATTTTGTGCGTATAACGCGTATTTTGATTCGATGAGCGCCAATGTCTGAATCACAACAAAATGCATGTATGTCATTGACTGGTTGCATTTGAAGGGCGCGAAAGGCGAATAACAATGTTGCATTATCGAACGTTGCGTTGTATGTCATGGCTACTTTTCGCTCCAAATCTGACCACTATGTTGATCTGAGACAGCAAGACCAAGACAGTGAGACCAAGTCAAGACCGAGACATCCGAGACCAAGACAAGACCATAGACCGTCGAAACTGTGACAAGACTAAGACAGCATAAAAGTGGTCTCGAGAACAAGACCGGTACCGAGACATCCAACTCTAGACACTAGTCCAGTCAAACCATGTGTTTGGAATGTGAGAGGACACCCAGAGAGAGCATGTGAAGTACACTCTCAGCTGAGCCGCTTTGCTCCCCTATGATCACAATCGCTGACATTTTTTATTGCATGGCGTAAGTTAGCTGTTTGCGAAAACCCCTTTGTAAAGTGAATTGTAAAATTCTGGGTGACTTGGAACACCACGCTCTACCTATTCAGGTGATTGATATAATCGGTTCGTAGACAATGCAATATAGAATCAAAACAATAGAGATCAGGCTCTAACTCTAATGGCTTGCATTCTTTTTTATAAGAGTTTCGCCCCCACCATGGGTTCAGAAGTGTTGAACCTATGGTGGAGCTCTGGCCAAAAGTACGCAAGTCATCATAGTTAGGATCCGATCTAAGTTATTTTTAATAGGCTTACATTTTCCCAAGAAATGCATTACATGATTTTGTTTTTATTCTTCATGGCTGCATCAGTATCTATTAAAGACTCCAATAATTTCCTGGCTTGCCCTGATCCCAAATTACATTACGTAGAGTCGCATCCTACAAATCAAGATCTACATTTTTTAACATAATCTGTAAAATAACTGAGCATCGTAATTCGGGAGTAAATAACATGCAACTGATCCCAGAACAGTTAATAGTTAAACCGTCGAACGTCGCGGCGCCGTCTCACACTTATGACGTAGGCGAACGCAGACCTAACGTCGGGGTTGCCATTAAAAACTGTTGTTTGGTGGCGTCCTGTCCCAAAGGTTTATAACGACTTTGGAGGTTTAGTGCTTTCATGGCCGTTTTTTGATTTCAATCAGGATTCCGTATAAAAACGAATAACAATCGATAGCGAGTATCTGTTAGCCACTTTGCCAGGTAAGTACTGCTGTACTTTTAGTCGTTTCCAGGTTAGCCGGCTAGCTGGAGCCCCGCTGGTATCGTCCTACAACTGCCAGTGGTTTTCGGGCTCGGGCACCTCGGTGACCGTAGGAAACCGGTCTGCATTTCTAAGCGATCTACGACTTTAACACCGTCTGTAAGGCTTGTCATAAGCACAAGGCTTGATTTATTCAAGTATCCGACTCACAGAATCATCACCTTAGCTGTCTGTAACTGTCCCCCTCTATAATAAAGAAGGGGGGAAAGGACTTGTCGAATCACGACCAGTTGGCCCCACGTTAAATATTTATGTCATGATCGCCTTATTGTTTGTTTGCTTGGCCCTATCAGGATGTCGTATATGCTCCCGCATCTTCATAATGGCTGGCAAGTTGACCAAGCTATTCTGTCCGAAGAGGACAGAGTTCTGGTCATCCGATTCGGGCATGACTGGGACCCGACTTGTATGAAGATGGACGAAGTTTTGTACAGCATCGCTGAAAAGGTATGTATGTTGCATTTAAATACATTTTCCAGTACTGTATAAGGTGTATAATTTTCAGACTGACACATAACACTGATCAAGTCGATCTCAGTCTTTAATTTTAGAAATTCTGATGTCTGAAGTGGTGGAAATTCTAAGGAATGCATCTCTGTGTTGTATGTGGTTACATATCTGATTTAAGTTATCATCTTCAGGTAAAAAATTTTGCAGTCATTTACCTGGTGGATATCACAGAGGTGCCTGACTTCAACAAGATGTACGAGTTGTATGATCCCTGTACAGTAATGTTCTTTTTCAGGTTAGTGCTCTGCTTCCTTTTTCAGTGTAATGAATGGTAAATGTTTTTACAAAAGCTGATACGATCATTGTGATCACCTTCCCTTAATCTGATAACCATTTCAAGTTTGTTCATTGAAAAACTGAGGATTCTGATTTTTTTTTTTTTTAAATTGTGATCAAGACTGCCGCCGTGTTTCAATTATTTATAATTCTTGCATTAGTAAAAACCAGTTGATAGAAATGTTTGGTCTAGTTATTTCTTATGTTTACTTCACCCAGGAACAAGCACATCATGATTGACCTGGGCACAGGTAATAACAACAAAATCAATTGGACTATGGAGGATAAGCAGGAGATGATAGACATTGTGGAGACAGTTTACCGTGGTGCACGGAAAGGAAGAGGTCTAGTCGTGTCTCCAAAGGATTACTCAACAAAATACAGATACTAAGTACCTTTTTCCCCTCTCCTTGTTGGTTTACTATGGACATTTAGGGCAACTGAAGTCTGAATATATGATCTGTAGAAAGAAATTCACCAAGTCAACGTTTAAGTGTTTTTTTTACATAATGAATCCTTTGCAATTTGCAAAATGGTGGAGAAGTTGATTCTAGTCAAAATAAACTATTTGAAAAAAATGTTTTCTGTGTATCATTCTATTTAAAAATAGCTGGCAAGTGATCAAATTAGAATGTTACAAGAGAGGAGTATCTATGCATGATGTTTGGTCCTTGTGTGGAATTGTGCTGATGATGTTGTCCATTGCATCACAAAGCAGTGGCAAATACAAAATGAATCCCTTTTAAGAAAACAAACCTTTGTCAGATGCAGCTAACACGTTTTGGTTTTGAATTTGTACTTATTTCTGTTTTTAACTACTTCACTCCTGTTGTTTAACACTAAAGGCACTTCTGTTCACGTTATGGTTCATTTGCATTTAAAAAAAATAGTACTGAACATTTCTGTACTTAAGCAATTTACAAACGTTAACTTTGTACACGTATATGGCCTGTACAAAGTCATTTTGAAGATTGAGGCTCTTCCATCCCTGCCTGTTTCATGAGATCAGCAACATTCTTCTCCAAGTCATCAATTCTGGTTCCCATTTCGTCCAGTGTGTACGTTAAGGAATGTAGTCGCTTCGGCCACACACCAACCCCAGATATTTCATGTGCATCTGGCATGAATTTGAAACTGCAATTTACAGTGGAAATAGTGATATAGCGCTAAGGATATTTCTTGAGACCAGCTGGTCAGACATGTCCTGAAACTTTTTCTGAAGCTTCTGCATCGTAGTTTCCATCTGAACAGAAAAAGAAACAATCTGATTTAGCGAACACAATTAGCCAACAAGAGCGTTACACGATATACTGTTTTTCTATAATAGCCGGTTTCACTAGCTGAATTTGCACACCTGTAATTCCGTATGATCTCATTGTTGCAAATCAATTAAAGTGACAACAAAAACGACAAACAAAAAATGGCAATCCTCCCTCTTTGTTAACATGTTAAAAGTTGTATATATGGACAATATTCGTTTGATTGTTGCATTTTCCCGTTACCTACCTGAGTTGTTTAAATAGGATTAAAACAAATGAGAACTGTGAGTCAGTATTACCGACAGCGCAGATCAGGGGTGCCCACACTTTTCAGCTTGCGAGCTACGTATAAATGACCAAGTCAAAATGTTCTACCTACTATAAAAATGCAAAACATATTTATTTGTAAATATATTGCGTATTCTTTACTATTATTATTAATTTCCCTTTGGGATAAATAAAGTACTTTTTAATTGAATTAGGATTTTAGCTCCTTCACCTTTCTCTTTCTCAGCTCGCTTTTGGGAGGGAAGTTAATGTCGTAGTTTTTATGAACAGTCCGAAAATGCCGCTCCAAATTTCCCTTCTTCGGAATAGCAATAGACTGACAGGTGAGGCAAACGCACTTCGAATATGACATTGTGAAAAAAAACCCTCCTCCCATTCCGTATGGAAGTGGTCGGTTTTTGGCTTCTTACTTGGTCCATCTCCCCTATTCATTTTTATACCCTTTCTTAAGTTTAGTAGAAATTAATTGGAGGCTAACTAGGCGACTCGGCAGGAGTTTTGCAGCAGCTGGCGCGGTTGAACGCGTCATCCATCCTCTATTTGTTTATGCCATGCGATCTACCCACACCACCTTTGCGATCGACCAGTAGATCGCGAACGACGTATTGGGCACCCCTGACGTAGAGAGTGGGTTATTGGTGGGTACACAACTTAATAATTTTAATATAAAATTCTATTGAGAGAATGATTGAAGTCAAATTATAACTAAATATCAGGGGGTTCACGTCCCCCCATCCCCCTAGGTTCCTACGCCTCTGAATGTAACGTCAGACTTACAAAATCTGTTAAATCCTGAGCTGCATTCCAGTTCGATTCAGCCATCGCGTCTTTTAGGCAGATCGCAGTTTCGTTATTTGCAAATCCAGTTTGTAAGCGTCCGTTAAAGCAAAATCCTTCTCAAGGGTGATAAATAACCTAAGGAAAGCTACGATTTCAGGCCAAAACAGAATTCACAGTCTTCAACAGCTGCTGTCCAGAAAAGCACCATCAGCAAAAAGTTAGCGCCGCTTTAACGCCAATAATGTACTACCGAAATGTGTAATTAGATAATGTATTACACCTTGCTCACACACATACAAATCACAAAAATATGAAGAAGCCACGACAATCTTAACACCATGTAATCAAAACACTGTACAGCTAAATGCGGAAACTTCTGCGATAGGGCTACTTTCGTATTTAAAATGTTGCACTGAAAAACCGATCAATCGCAGCAAGGCGTTTCCCCCGCATCGCCTAAAGACGCACCCAGCATTTAACTTTAACCCCATACTGTGCGATCCCCTGCTGTTTTCTCCCAGCCAATCAGAACGCTAATGAACAACGCAACGTGTTTTAGGACCCTACGGCGTCCTGGCGAGGCGGTCGGTCTGTGACGTATCCCGGAAGCGCGGCTCGGTTTCGTGGAATCGGTTACAGAAACGAAGCTGGCTGCCAGTGTGGCGGTTGGCCCGTTGCGGGATGTGTGTTCTTCCGAGTCTCACTTTCCAGTCCTGCTCCGCACCGAAGGGGCCGTGAGTTCACCATTCCCGTGTGTCGATGTCTCCAAGCGGAGGGTGTTAGATCGATAGCCGCCACGGCGCTGTAGCTAGCCGTAAGGACGGACCCGGGATCCTAGCCGTGAGGAGGTTTGATGCATAAAGGCAAGTTTGAATTAATCACTTCATCTAGAAATACATTGCATTTGACAATGCGCCACTAACATCCCTGTGCATTGATGCTTAACCATGATCTGCATTATATTACACTCCCTTGATTTCTGCATCATTTAACACGACATAAAGATCCTTTTTTAATTACAGGTAAGAGTCGGTTGTACTTGACCAAAGCACCCAGTGATTTTGTTTCATATATCCACTCGGTCCTATTTCTGCAGTGTTTGTTTATGGGGTGCTTGTCATATTTCTTCAGTCTGTACTTTTCTCTGTTACAGGATGCTGCCCTGTTTGCGTGGCAGTGATGCGATGAAGTTCAGGATCTGAACCCACTTTAATTCCCACCCAACTTTGGGAATCGGAGCGATTTCCCTCCGATATTCATTTGAGATACAGATATTTTGCCGGACAGTTTGGAAATAAATGGTTTCCCACTGGTCGGTGGCAATCCGCTAAGCCTGACCACCAGTGAATAAAGCAGGAAGTACATCGCCCCCTGGTATCAGTGATTTGGAACCCGCAGTTAGACCCCCCTCCATTGCTTATCACCTCTCCGAGGCTTTTTAGGGCATTGATTGAAAATGGAAGATGAACTCTTTCAGCAGCTGACTTACGTGCTCAATCAGTTGGTGTCATGGTTCGCCGCCGGGGCCATGGTCTTCGGTGGGGTCGTACCCTATATCCCCCAGTACCGGGATATCCGACGGACCCAAAACGCAGAGGGCTTCTCCTCCTACGTGTGCCTAGTTCTCCTGGTGGCCAATATATTGAGGATACTCTTCAGGTAAGTGCCGATCGATACTGTCTTATTTTACACTGCCTTTGTCATTAGGCCTGCCGATATTAGGTTGTACAGTGAAATACCGGACATTGCTTAAGGATATTAAATGAGAACGGGAGGGATGGGTACTCAAACGTTACATAGCCTATTTGGTATCGATTACTATTTAAAGGTGCCAGTCACAAATGTTTTTCTCCAAGGTGGCCGCAATATTCCCTGAAGTATGTCTTGTATGTTTATTTTAAAAAAACACTCTAAGTGTTAGATTACAGGATTTAGTTAAGACCCGTAATAGTTTAAGCGCCCATTTACCTGCGGTTTAAGCTGGAAACCCCCACCGCTGTAACAATGTTAAAATGTTGTAAGTGCACATACTGTAAGTCCTAAAGGAGGTGGAAAATCCTCCCTCTTATGGGTGAGATCTCAACACACATGAAGCATGTAGGCGCTTATTGCCCCGCCTCCGCACGGTTTGACGTGGGTTTGCTGGGTAAACATCTCAAATGCCGCAGATACTTTGTTCCGGTAGTATGCAATTTGAAATTTGTTTTTGTAGTTGATAGCCCAGTAAGAAATGCTTTCATCACGCATGGTAGATCATAAAAGCTTCTATTATGTGCAATAAAATTGTGCTAATGATGAATACTGTAACTCCTGATGCACAACCTTCCCAACGTTTCGTTAAGTAGACCTTAAAGAAATGGTAATAATATCGAAAAAATATATATTAATATTGCTTATATTTGTCACACCAGTGCCATATTCATGCATTAATATTAGTATAAGCCTTGACTAACGAATTCCCCCCCCTGCCAGGAAATCAATAAAGTATCTCTCTCTTCCACAGAAGTTCTCCTTATTGCCGGACCTGTCAGCCTCTGGTTGTTCAGATTTTCTGCCTCATTAAACCAGCTGGCAGCTGGCTGTTCAGGGCAGTTGCATATGTGCTCGTTGTGATGCCTGCAGCCCTGGTATATTCTGCACCTCCAGTACCATGGTTCTGGACTGGCCTTCACAGTCTAGCCGGCCCACTGTAGATACCGTGAGCTGTACGGTGTGCCGGCTTTATCCTGTATAAGGCTGGTAATTGTCTTGTTGCTGATTGTGAAAGATAAAATGCACCCTAAAAGAGGTCGAAATGACCTCTTTATTAGGTACTGGAAGATATTGGCACAGCTGGCCTCATGGGTCTTATCTGAAAAATACAGAAAAATCCTTGCATTTTAGTGGATAGTTTTAGTGCAGTTTTTGAAAGAAATAACAGCAAGGTATACGTTGTCAAAAAGAGTGAAAAAAAAAAAAAAAAAGATATTGGTGTGATTGTACTTGTGAGCACAAATACACTCTTACTTAATGTATTAATTAACCAGAAGTGTTAGTTACATACTGGTCCCATGTTCATTCATTATTAATCAACCATAAAGGTTCATGTCTCATTCAGTTACTATATTTGTTCATGATTTGAACTTAAGTAGTAACTTTGTTGCTAAGTTACTGGTGCCCCCTGAAGTAAAGTGTTACTGAGATACTCTGGACAGAGAAATGAAAAGCTGAATCTGAAGCCTTTTGGCCCTGTTCTTACACTCGTGTTCTTACACTCGTGTTCTTACACTCGTGTTCTTACACTCGTGTTCTTACACTCGCCTCCAGTCACTGCGCCACCTATTTTCTTGAGTTTTCTTTAGGGGAGTGCAGCCTCCTGTGCTGCTTCACCACTTGCAGTGGGTTGTTAGTTGTTGAGCTGTAACATTTTTTTTATGAAGTAAGTCTGTGTAAACTACAGCCAGGGAGAGCGTGAATTATGTAGCCCTGCTCTGACAGGAGTGAGAGGTTTGCAAATGTTTGTTCAGTACTGAGTGAAAATTCAGTTGTGGACTGTTTGGTCAGGACTTTATTGGGCATAAAGGAGAGTTTGCGTCGCGCTAACAGGGATTTTGCTTTTTCTTGAAATTGAACTACTGGATTTGTGCTGGCTGTGTTTGTGTTCTGTTTTAACCTCTGAAGGCTTTATTAAGTTCCACTTTACTTCCTTCTGTACTTTTGGTTTCCTGAACCTGCCAGTGACTCTGCCACCCATGTCCCCCCTTCCTGCAGGTTCGGGCGGTACTTTGAGACCCCCCTGTTGTGGCAGAGCATCATCATGATCATTACCATGCTGATTATGCTCAACCTGTGCACCAGCGTCCGTGTGGCCGCGGAGCTGAGCACCAAACGGCGGGTCTTCCTAGGTCAGTATGATGCGCCAACTCTCCCCCTCCAAGCTCTTGGGCTTTGGGCATCACTGGGCCCAGTTTCAGTGTAGACGGCTTTGAGAATGATTTACTACACAGGTGTCGCATTCCTCTGTCTTTCCTACTGTTTTGTTTTCCGAAATGAAAATATGGATAATTAGGATTTTATGGCCTAAAACAGTGTTTCCCAACTCAGTCCCTGTGAACCCCCAGACAGTCCACATTTTTGCTCCCTCCCAGCTTCCAGTTGGGAGCAAAAATGTGGACTGTCTGGGAGGGAGCAAAAATGTGGACTGTCTGGGGGTTCGCGAGGACTGGGTCGGCAAACACTGGCCTAAAACATAGATGAATTTTATTTATTTATTTTTCCTTTCCCCTTTCCTTCTTGTCCTTGATGCCCACTGAATTAATAGGGTTTTATTCATTTGTTAAATTGGGTTTTGATATTTTTCCCCCTTGAATGAGTACAGAATATATCGCTATCATTTGTTCTTGATGATCTTTTATACCTGATTTAGGTATTTGAGTGAAATGCGGAATTCTGATCATCTTGTTAAAAGATGTTGGTTAATTTTCAGCCCAGTTTCAGTCTTCAGTGGTCTGTGGACATTTATTATAAAATCTAGTTACTATATTCAACAAATGATTAACTAAATTGACTCATTTATAATTTAACAATATGTGAATAATTCAGTTAACAACTCTGTTAAATAGGGAGGTTCATAAATGCTCAGCTGAATAAAATAAGCTGTTAATGTGTGTTCATACTTTGATTTATACTCCCATCATAAAACCGGGTTCCATTTCACGCTTCTCTGAAAGGTATTGGCCACAGTTTCCTTCGAATGATGTTCTCTGCATGGCAGACCTAATTTTCCCCCTTTCCTGAACTTCATCTTGAGAGCTGACACAATATTATAAAAGGTGTGCTGACTATCTCTCGCCATAACTGCTGGAATGTTCCACCTTTCTGTTTATGGTTCGCAAAAGTCATTTATAATGAATTTTCTGTCACTTGAAGCATTTGCTGGCCCTAAACTTGCTTTTCTATTCTGACACATTTTTCATGTCTTTAAAAAATTATGAAAATGTTGAGCTATTTGAGGAATATGACAGAAGCTGTGGTATTAGTGTAGCATATGGCTGAAATTGCTCATGTTGGGTGTTGCGTTACATAGGTGGTCACTGACTTTGCAGTGTGTTACATAGATCCAAGTGTGACTAGATCAGACAAAACCATCATATGATCATTGCACATATGATTGTGGGATGTGTGAATCAGTGGAGCTATTCCACTTAATAAAATGCACAGCTTGGCTCTAGCTCTGCAAACCACACCTTTGGACCTCGCTTGCCTTGATCTTTATTTCTGACTTAACTACGTAAGGAATATAGGCTATATTTGCCGATCAGGTGAGGGCTCTGTGTGAGGTTTGTGATACAGAGCTGTGTAAACAGAGTGACTAGAGGATCTGGGAAGTTCTGAGCTGAATGTCGCTTTTCTGATAGGGCCTCTGGGTTTACGAATCTTTGAGAGGGAATAGGTTTGTTCAGGACTCCTCACACGTCAGGTTCAGTATAGTTGAAAATGGCCTCAATCCAACAGCTTTGAAAACGTACCTCATCTGGGTCGTCTTCAGGTTTTTTTTCTTCTTTTTTTTGGATTTAAAGTGGCCACCCAAACGTAGCTGCTTGTGACATCCCACACGGAGGTATCCCGTCACTGTGGCCAGTGTGGCATCTGTCGTTCCCCTTGTGTTTTGAGGACTTTGAGATGTTGGCCTCCACACCAGTTAAGCATTGGGTAATTCCCCCACCCCCCCCTTGCGTCCGTAGAGGCGCCGGCATACGTGATCTTCGTGACGCCAGCCGGCTGCCTCCCCTCTTCCTCGAAGGACAAACGGCTTATTTCTTCCTTGTCGTCAATCCCAGTAACCCTGGAAACGGTCTGTGTGTCTTTTTTTTTTCTCTCCCTGTTTATTTTGCTTTGCGTCTAGCGTCAGACAGTAAGGATGAAGAGATCAAAGTTCCTAAGAAGCTTTTCCTGGGTAGGTACCGCTGTCTCCTGTGACCTGCCAGTCGCACCTCACCAATCACGCACCATCCACCCTCTCTGGCATTAACTGCATGGTCGACGCCTTTCACATCGCCCTTCCTGACTCACTAACCCCCTGCTCTCTTTATACTTGCCTTGTTCTCTCAGCGGTTCATCCAAGCATGCTGCCCTGAGTGTGACCCCCTTCCCCACCTTGAGTTTATACCCCTCCGGCAGTCTGAAGGAGACGAGGGCTGGTTGTTACCTTTTTTCCCGTAGCAGCAGATCCATGACCGGTGCCGGTTTGCTGGGTTCAGACTAGCCCCACTGCTCTGGAGACGCGGCCGGACATGCTGCCTTCACGTGTGCTCTGATGTTTCTCCGCACTTGTTTTTGTGTAATGCGAGTGATCTGCCCACACTGGCTGTGTTTGGATCCCCTTTTGCTCTGTTGCATGCCATGATTGCGATGGGATTCTCTGGCATTGCATAGATGTAGATGAACTCTGATGAAAATTGTTTGGCTTAGATTATGTTTGGTTTGGATACGCTAAAAAAACAACAATTAATAGGTATTAAATTTACTTCAGGATACAATTTCGCAGTAAATAGTGGTCGTAACATACACCTCATATTCTTTTAGATGTTTGAAAATGTTGAAATGTGTAGAAAACAAAATTCTGGCATATTTGTCTTTGCTTGGAGTTGTGAAGGAAGGATCTTTTTGTACCTTAGCCTGACGGACAGAGGCCCTTCTGCGGCTTTGCCAGCAGATGGCGCTGAGAGCTTTTCACAGGGCTGTTTTCAGGCTTCACTAGATTTTCTTGTTGATTAGTCTGGGCTCCTTCATACCCTTCGCATTTGAGATCCCTAACAGTACTGTGAATCCAGCAGTGTATTAAATAGCTGATTGGGTGGGTGACTTGCCTCATAAAGACCAGGAACAGGTCAGCTGAGCCTGAGTTGTCTTTTGCAGAGCGTGTTGTCTAGTGCGCGTTGCTGCCTCCTGTCCCTCACAAGGTGCACTCAGCCTTTCTCCTGTTTCCTGGGATTAGGTTCTGCAGTCAAGGCGTTCGTATCAGACTAGAGCATGATTCATTCTCTCATCTATATGCTTTTCCCGGCCAGGGTTATGGGGCGGGCGGGGGGGGGATCTGGAGTCTGTCCCGGGAAGCAAAGGGTACAAGGCTGAATGGGATGCCAGTCCATCACAGGACACGCACAAAATCACAGACACCCATTAGCCTTGGGCAGGGTTCTTCAACTCTGGACCTCGATTCCAAATCCAGGCCGTGTTTTCAGTTCCCCCAGGTAGTTGTTTAATAATTACTGATTCTGATTGGTCAGAGGCTTCACACCTGACTGACAGGTAAAGGAAGGCTGGAAAACCAGCAGTGCTCAGACCTCGAGGACCGTGAGTTGAATCACCCTGGTCTAGGGCTTTCATGTCTTAGGGCTACAGGAGAAACCGCACATGCAGACAGGAGGTGGGATTCGAACCCCCGACCTGGTGGTATCCCGAAGCCGTCCCATTTATGCTTTTCGCTTCTGTCTCATTTGCAAATGTTATTTAGAATCTTTGCTACAAGCCATGGACATTGAAAAATGTTTAATGTGTAGGTGTTGCATGCACAAGTGTAATTATTACAAACCGCATCTACAGTACGAGGGAAGCGGCACTGGTCTGTGTGCTGTATCCACAAACCGCTTTGGAAAATCCGCCTTGTTCTGGGATTGCTGGTGGAGGCTGTTGAATCGGGTTTTGTGTGGGTGCAGTGTGCTGGCGAGGTGGGGAGGGGGGCTTCGGTCCTGCCCGCAGCCATCTCCTGCTTTTGGTGTTGGCACGACTGTCTTGCGTGGACCGCCACCTACATTTACCGCCATTCGGCGGACTTGCTGCTGATGTCACGCCGTTCGGATAGGTGTGTTCCCCATAGAATTCCCCTGGACGGAGGTTGGTGTACCGGGCATTTGGACACGAGGCTGTGGGTTGTTCCCGCCAGCCCAGCTGCCCTCGCTGCCCCCGTGTGGGCTCATGCCGCCCTGTCACTGCTGTCTAACTGCAGCATTTGCTTGCTGGGGGGGGGGGTGCTGCATGTCGCGTTCTGTAATTGCTGGACTCCTGACAGCCTCTGGGACTGATCTTACGAGGAAAACTGACAAACGGCATTGGATGCTCTTCACAACCTGTGCTGGGCCCTGTTTCCACACAGCAATGGGCTGTTAGTCATTTATTAGAGCATTGCTGTGTGCTGTAGAAGCCAAAAATCACATTTTTCTTTTTTTCAGTTGTTCAAATTCATGAATATTGTACGTTTACCTCCAGAGAGGGATTTTTTTTTCTTTTCTACTGTTTACTGAGGGTTGCAGGACTGATGTGGACCGCCCCCCAGGAAAAAAAAAGTCACTAAGAACGTAATGGAGTATTTAAGTGTGCCAGGGTAGTCATAAGCAGAAGGCTTATTCAGGAAGCTCTATTCATTTCTAAACGGGATCCGGTGTCTTCCAGCTGGTTCCATTGTCCCACCACGCAAGCTGAATTTTATATAATTTACATTTGACTCATAACTGTAAATAAGACTGCAAATATTTAGTTTCACTTGAAACTACTGAGGTCGGTAAGGCTGGTTTACACGCTGAGGATTTTGGTGCCGTTGAATTTAAGCACGAATACCTGTCCCCACCGATCGGAAGCAGATGAAAATATAGACCTGAGTCATGGGCGGTTTTTCCGGTTTGGGGCTGATGCGGATCCCTGTCGCCTGCAGAACCAGCTGAGTGCCTTTTTCCTCCCACGTCGCGTTGGAGCCAGGCTGCAGTGCGTGCTGATTTAAAAGCCGGACCCTTATTTATGTCCTGGGGGCTTCACGGTCAGCCTTCCTGTTACGGCTTCACGGTCAGCCTTCCTGTTACGGCTTCACGGTCAGCCTTCCTGTTACGGCTTCACACAAGAGTCTTACCTTTGTTTTGATGCATTGTTTATGAGATTGAGAGTGTGTTGGCTGTAGGTTTCTTTTGCTCTTTGCAGGCTGCAGATGAGGTGTGTGTGTGTGTGTGTGTGTGTGTGTGTGTGTGTGTGTGTTTTTTTTTTTTTTCCCCTCTCAACCAATTATCTTGCTTTCTCTGAGGATGTTGTCTAAAGCCTGTTGAAGGATAGGTTTGTAGGAGTGAGTTGTTTGTTTATTCCGTTAAAACGCTCTGGTGTGTTTCCCAGTGTACCATGCGTGTATGATTTCCATCAAAGTTCTTGTTGCTAGGGAAGAAGTCCCCTGAAATCTTTAATCCGCCGTTCTGGCTTAAATATAAGGGCTTTACAGGTAAGCCTCTCGAGTTTTTGTAGGTGACGTCCTTCAGATGATGAGCCTGCGTCCCTGGCTGCCCATCTGAACGCCTCTGCGGAGCATCTCGAAGGGATATCGAGTCTCTCGGCCCTCTGATTCGGCTGCCGGCGAATGCGCAGCGTGAGAGCCCCCATCAGGGAGTGCAGGGTTAGGGCACGTCGAGCGTCACCCCGCCTCCGCCTGTCAGTAGGTTGCTGTCAGGATGCTGCAGGGGAGGCTCAGGGAGGATGTGGGAGCTGTTCTTCACATACTGTGGTTGAGTATCTGTGCTGCCCCCTAGAGGACAGGATGTCCCGGTCGTTCTTGAGGAGGGTGGGGACTCATTCATCACTAAATTTGCTTGTGTATGGCTTGGCTGCACTGGCATGATAGTAGAGAATAAAGGGTCCCACAATCGGTCCCAAAAATGCCCTGCCTTGGTGTTCCCGTGGGGAGGGGTTATCAGCCGCCACTGTCATGTGGTGCAACTCTCCCTGGGTTAAACAGGGCAGGCGGTGTGTGTCATTCTGCTCGCCCCGCCCCCCCCCCTGCGGGGTGTGTATCTCCACGCTTGCTTTAGCGGTTCCTGCCTGGGGGCAGCTAAGGTTCCCCTCGTTTTTTCGAGCTCTTCTTGCTTGTCAAGTGAGCGAGTCGGCAGCCCCCAGACGACACTGTGGAGAAGATGAATGTCCCGAAGGCGTCACTGTTAACTCTCATGTCAGATCTCCATAGAGCCGGGGGCTGGAGCTTGCTGTGCTGAGGTCGGCACCATAGCAGGGTTTACCCAGACTACCAAGGTGGGCAAATCGTAAATCAATATGGTTATTCTGTAACAGTGGGGGATGGGGGCGCACTACGCGTTCACATTTAATTCAGACCCTTTTATAGAAAGCAATGTACATTTTGAGAAAGTAGGTTCAGCCACGGGTTAAGGGCCTTGCTGAAGAGCTCGACTGTGGAAATCGCTCAACGCTGGGATTTGAACCCGCAGCTTTCCGATTTACAGGTACAGTGCCCTAGCCCACTGAAGCAGATAACGCACCCCTCAAAACACGGCACCAAATCAACATCTTGCAGTCATATTTCTTTTTAAAGCATTGTTTAACCTTTATGCATAACACTCCATCTTGTCACCACGATTAAAATGATTGGCATCTAGTGCTCTATTCACATCTAGTTTTCCAAACTCATTCACATCCCGCTAGCAAATTGCCGTCCATGTTAATGTCATCACTCTGACTTTCAGTGTTACTCAGAGGTACACTGCCCTTTGCTGCGTCGTGGACCTTTATCCAAGAGCAGCCGGTGATCTCTCCACGCATCAGTGATAAATCTGTCTGGTCCGGTCCCTCGCACTGAACAGGCCTTCCTTATGCTCCTGTGATAAGCGGTTTCTCATCCTCGGACCCGAAGCGAAGAGTACTCTCACAAGCTCCAGTGGAATAGGGAGGGAAGCTTTCCTTGTAGGACCCCAGAGTGTCTTTTACTTTGATTCTTCCTGTTAGAAGTGCCCTTTATGTAATTGCATCAGGCAGGATTGGCTTATGGTGGCAATAATCTTCTGATCTCCTGCTTGCTGTACTCTCAGGACATCTCCCTGAAACGGCTGCTGATCACTTGAAAATATCAGGCAGGACTGTGTGCTGTCAGGACGGTCCCTTAGAAGCAGGTTTTCACACATGCAACCAGCTAGTTGCTGACTATCAGAGAATGTTTTCAGCACGAGGACACTGTCAGATTAAGAGTCACACTTTATGTAATTGTACATTTATTCCATTTTGTGGCTCATTAAATGACTTCAGTAGCTGTACTCTTCCCTGTCAGACCATGTTTCCTTGAGGAATTTGAGATCTACCGTGACGTAGTTCTGCTTCTGAAACGCAAGGAGAGCCTCTGAGACAGAAACAGATGTTAGACTTATATGAAGATCATCCTCCCCCCCCCGCCCTACCCCCCATAACCGCTCAAGACAGTCAGTGGGGTGTGACACTAATGGAGGCCAAGCCCCCTCACTGTGAGTTAAGGGCTTTAATGAGCAGCTGAACGCAGGCCGCTTGACATGCCCTGTCCCCACTTGCAGACTTTGACTGGAGCTCCTTCTGGCTATGGAGTCGCTTCGTGGACTACCTGCAGTGCGTGCTGACCTTCACCGCCGCCGCCGGCTACGTCACCTACCTCCTGCTGGACTCCCCGCTCTATGTGGAGACTCTGGGCTTCCTGGCCGTCTTCACGGAAGCCATGCTTGGCACGCCACAGCTCTACTGCAACTACCAGAACAAGTCCACTGAGGGCATGAGGTAGGAGCCGGCCTGCTAGGGGCCCCCAACATAGAGGTGTGTGTTATGCATGTATTATATTGTGTCTCCCCCACAATGTGATAAAAAAATCTGTTATTTTGTCCCAGTGGGAACATTTTTTCGGTACCCACAAATGGATTTTATCTTTGAATGCAATCAAAAAACTAAGAATTCCAAAAGTCTTGTATTTTGTTTGGTTACTTATGGCTAGGCCTGGGTAGAGGATAAGGTCATCGTTCCTGGGATTAGGGTTATGCTCATAGAAATAAAGGTAGGATCCCCACAAAAGAATAAATACAGACTTGTGTGTGAGTGGAGATGTTTTCAGTCCACGTCATTTCATATGCTGATAGTTTTTTAAAATTGCTACTTTTGCAAAAAAAATAAGCATGACTTTTTTTTTTCCCTGCTGTTCACCAAGAATACAGAATCAAGTTGGCTATATACAACTGTTTAAAGATTCTGTACATTTCACAGTAGTTCTGTTCTCCCTGCTGTAAAATGAGTGTTTGTTTGTGGCCTACCAGCTTTTGTCATCCCAAGCCTTGGTCACCTTTGGGCCAGATTCTCCCAGGCTATGCGGGCAAGCTGAGCTGACATCTTGTAGGATTTCAGCCATGTGTCTATGTGGTCCAATTTGCCTGAGTCAGCTACTCTGCTAATGCTAAAGGAGTGATGGCTGATGGGTAGCGGTCCTCACATGCCGTTTCCCGCTACACAGCTAATGCTAAAGGAGTGATGGCTGATGGGTAGCGGTCCTCACATGCTGTTTCCCGCCGGTTTGTGCAATTGGCCCCCTCAGAATCAAAGTGTTGCTTCAGCCTGCCCTGGGCCAGCTTCACATAGGCTACGACGGGTTCCTGATTGCCCCCTGCTCTCTCATCACCAGAGCATGTGAGCGGAGTGGAGCGGTGAGAATTCCCGCTCCTCGCTCACGAGGCTGTTGGCTCCGTCTGCTCCTCCGCTCTAATTCACACTAAGCCGCTCCGCTCAACACCGCTCCTCGCTCCACTAAAATTTCCTCCTGCTCCAGTCAAATCGCTCCACGGTCGCTCCAATTTAAAAGAGGGACAAATAATCTGCATGCCTAACAAATGTCACCTTAAACCGAAGTCTTATCATAAAGAAATATGAGCAACTGCAACATTGCCAGTCAGAACAGAAAATATTTATTTTTAAGCAACATATTAGCAACAACGCACAGGTTTGACAATGGCATTCCACACAAAAATAGGCTTAAAAATAAAGGAATCAGTGGGCTTAATAGCCTAAAGAATATATTGATAATTGTACAGATGAATTCTGGGTAGAGGAGCGAAATTGGTGCGAGACAGAGCGACCGCTCCAGCCTTAATTAAAAAACCGCTCTGCGCTCTGACCAAATTCCACCCGCTCCGCTCCTCGCTCACGCTCCGTTCACATGCTCTGCTCACCACGACGTGACAAATCAAAATTTTGCTGTGAACACTTCAACGGCAAAAAAACGTGTCTAAAATAGATTGATGGGGACATCTGGCATTTAGCATCCAGCGCGTCCTGTATTTCACCTGCGCTGTTAATATGCGTTAATGTTCAGCGTTTTAATCATTCCTCGTGATTCATACCTTTATGCATGCTCCACCTAGCAGTGTGTGTTGTTAAGTACTCTGATCACGTTTCAATGTTTGTTTAATTTTTTTTTTCCCATTTTAGTAATTATACCTATAAAAGCAGCCAGGAGGCACTGAGGAGTCTCCCGGACTGCAGGATGCTAATTATGACGGTGTCAGCTGTTTGTTTTTAGGTACTTTAATTAACGCGGCAGTTGCTGCTGGCTTTGGTGCTTGGGGAGGCCTGGATTCTGCGTCAGATGCTAAACGGGCTGCTGAATCTTTACCGTACGGCATGATCTTTGAGGGAGTTCAGGTGCCTGTGGCCAAACTGCATCTGTTTGACCGGCAATTAAAGCGGCCATGATGGGAGGCAGCATAGCCGTAATTTACACGATGACCGTAATCGGCTGCTCTGGCCAACCCCACACCAGTTATTGCTGCTGAGGTTTCCTCCTCTTCCTCCTCGCTTAGAAGGTGAAGGAGCCCCCTGCGTTACCTGCCTCTCTCTGCTTTGCTCTGTATTCTGTTGTTTCTGGCGTGCTTCCGTGTGCTTCACAATCTTCCAGTAGGGGGCTCTCTGCTATTAGTAAACCTGCTAAACCTTTAGCATGTGGCCTATCTAGGGCCCCTTTGAGGCCGCGCTTTATATACTACAGTAATGCAGGTTCACCAGGCCCTATCAAACCAGAGTGGGTCCAATAATACCTTTCAGCTTTCATATCTCCTTGGAGCATTAGAGCGCCACCGAGTGGCCACCTTCGGAAACACCGATCTTTCCCTCACACCTTCCCCCCCCTTTTCACACCTTCACCTTTCCTTGTTCCTAATGCGCAGCTTTTCCTAATGGACTCATTAGTGATTGTGCAATTTATATCCAGCCAGGCCTTAAACTGAATTTGTCCTGCCTGCGATCTCTCTCCCTCTGCCCTGACCCCCTGGATCGCACAGGTTCCCTCCCCTAATGAGCTCCGTGTCACACAGGAAACCCGGCCGCCCGTCCCGGTGGGTCTCAGGATCTGGCTCTGGGCCCGCGGCCACTTTGTAGGGGGTGGGGGGTGGCGTGTGCCAGGGGCCCCCTCTGATTCATTCTAATTACTGGGCAGTGGAGCAGGAGCCCGGCTGTTCACTGCTGCATTACTCTGACAGAAGCGCTTCGGGGTTGGGGTGGCAGGGGCCCGAAGGTTAATGGCTTCCTTTGGATTTTGATTAGCGATGTTTGTTCCCTGGAAGTTGTTGTGGAAGAGCACGCCCCCCCCCCCCTCCCCAATCAGTGTGTTCTGTCTGCTGGTTGCCTAGCTGCTCTGCTGATCTCCAGTCAGCAACTGCTCAGAACTTTAAATGGGAACGTATCACGGCTGGCAGTGCCCTCGGGCGGGGGAGGGGGATCTGTCCAGCTGGGCGTGTCCTCGAAGCTAAAACCCTGCTAAAGCCCCCCCGAGGCTGCTAAGCTAACATCTGTCCCCCCACCCATGATGGCCTTTTTTCCACACACTCCTCCTTCCTTTGTGTGAGCTGCTTTTCACTGTCGTCACTGTCATTATGAGTAATTAGCTCGCCCCGGGCTTGGATGGGGTTTAATACATTAGTGTTTTGGGAGACATTTTGCTAATGTTTCTGAATTGCGCGCGACCCCAGGGGCTCCGTCATCCGGCTCCACTCAATGCGGTGACTGAGACGGCGGTGGCGCTGAGCCGGTTTCCCAGGTCCCGTCATATCGCTGTGGGTCCACGGTCTCTGGTGTCTGCATGTACACACTTGTGCTAAGCAGTTACTGTGGGATCTGGGGAATCCTTATACAGCTGGTGCTCCTCTCCAGGCCCAGGACGGCCCTTATAAGGGCCCAGAATAAGTTCTTGCTGTGTGTTTATCACTGGATTAGATGGCCTGTCCCATGAAGATAACCTCTAGGCCGTGGCCCGCATGTTTTCTCTGATTGGCCAGCGGCAAGCCAAGTGATTCCCATTGGGTGTCACAAGCCACACCCCCATCCCCACAGTCAGCCAGCTGATGTGGTTTATTCAGTTTGCCTAGTTACCCTATAAGCAGTGCAACAACAGTCCAGTTATCCAGCTGCCCAACCAACAGAGAATGATGACCAGTTAAGTTGAATAATATTACAGGAAATGAAAAATGCAAACTGCAAATACAGGAAGTGGAGCAATCGGCTTGACCAACATTAGTGTAGGTATTTTAATAATACCTACAATAATGATAAGAAGAACTCAAACAAAACCCGACGAATGCTTTAATCTTGCTTATCACCTACCAACTTTTTTTGTAATACTTGATCATAATCGCACCTCCCAAAAAGGAAATATGAAGTGTCTTCCGCTTAAGTGATTGCAGGACTGCTTTTCTTTTTTAGTCCCTGTCTTAACATTCTGTTTTTTTTTTTGAAAAGCACCCCCATCCCTTTCTTTAATGGTTCATCCCAATCAAGCCCTCTAACAGCGTAATGGCCCATCTTGGCCTCATCTTGGGGGGCCGCAGTCAGACAGGCTGGGGACTGTCCGGGGCGTCGGCTGGCAGGGCTGTAATCAGCCAGCATGGGTTTTCTCCTCCGCTCATCGTTAGGTGACCAATCACAGTTATTTTCAGGCCTGCACCTGACCTCACCTCACTCCTTTGACATGTGATGGTGAAATGTCTTTATTCTCAGCAGATTGTTGGCGGGCTGATGGGTAAAATGAAGAACACTTGTAGGTAGACTCCTGTCACACCCATACCTGTTGTAACCATGTGTTCCCCTGGGTGTATGGGTAAGCTGGCTCAGTAAAAGCTGATGCCCACCACCCGACCTCTGACCTCCATCCACCGCGAGGAGGTGCCGCTGCGCTGAAGCCCCAGCCCTGAGCGCCTCCCTGTCCTGGATACCTATATTGTACTATAGTGGTTGCATAATGGTTCCCCCCCCCCCCTTCACACAGGAATGGTTCGTCCTCGGTCGGTCCGGTCGCCGCTGATGCCCCCGGATGCTCACCCACGACGTTGTGTTTACTGTCTTGCATCCTTAGCACGATCCCCCTCCTGCCTTTTCAATTCCCCGCTCTGTCTCCATAGTAACTCTGCTCGATGGTCCTCTCTCTGTTTAGAAAGTGTTTTGTTTCCGGACAGAACATCAGCGGACGACTGCGAGAGCGATTTCTCTCTCATCAGGAGTTAAGGCTCCCATGTGCCGCTCTCATCCCGCTTCATGCTCGCTGTCGACTGTCTAACAATCGGCTGGAAATTGGCTTTCATCTACAGCCACGTCCTCGCAGCGTCTGCCAAAACACAGCGTCCTTGCCGCTGCCGACGGCTGCCTGCCCCGTCCCCGTCTGCCGCCCACAGGAAACGGGGGTGGGGATGGGGCGTTCTGTGTCCTCCATCCTGACGAGGCCCACCATGACAGCTGGTTGGACGGCCTCATTATCTCCTGCTGATTTAATAATCAGCGGGAGGTGAAGTGGCGTGCATCTGCGGGCAGGCCAGTGGACCATGCAACTCGAATGCTACACAGATCACAGATCCCCCCCCCCCTCTTTAATTGGGTCCCCCCCCCCCCCCCCCCCATATCGCTAATTCTAGCCACTGCAGGGCCACGACATGCTTCCTATGGGGAACATGGCTATATTGTCTTAATCTCATTAAATATCCATCAAATGAATAATTCTGGTTAAAAGCTTCAGCTAATAAACAGAACGATGGTCTGGAACCCTTTCTTCTGAGGTCATGGAAGCATTACTGTGTTCTGTAGAGTATCAGCTCCTGTGAGGTCCCAGTGGTGGCCTTCCAGAGAGCGAGCGTGTCTGCTCTGTGCTGCTGGGTGGTCGGCCTGCCAGGGGATGCCGACGGGCTGCTGGTGCCCGGTGAGGGAGGTACCCGAATCGTTAGATGTTACACAAGGTTGCCTGGATACGGGAAGATGCCATTTGTATCCGGAGGTCTGCTACTTGTGGTGTTTCTCTAACTCCGTTACGACGTGGTATGTAGAGGTTTATGACTTATAATTCACATTTGCTCCATGTGCGATGGGCGTAGCAGTTTCCTAGTTCACGCCAGTTAAACTGTTTCATGCAGTGTCTAGTTGGCATTCCTCCTGCTCCTCAGCTTTTAAAGTTTTTAAAGTGGATTCAGCAAATTGCCAGCTATAAAGTGAAACCCCGCACCACTGGAGCCTTTCGGAAGGGTCCGTCGGCTGATTGGAGACGAGTGTCCACATCTCCTCTTTGTCTACATCTCCTCTTTGTCTACATCTCCTCCTGCTTTTTCTCTGCTTCAAGGTCGGGAGAAGTCAGCCATACTTAACTGAATATTCTATAGAAACGGCACGTGTAGATACAGCTGTGTGTTTGTGTGTGTGTGTGTGTGTGGGGAAGCGGGGGTCATGTGTGTATTACATTACAATGTCCCCACAGTGTGACAAAAATCCTGTTATTTTGGACTTGTGGGGACATTATTTCAGTCCCCACAAGGGGAAACTCTGTTTTATAAAAATCTATGAATGCAATCAAAAAACATTTTAGCCAACAGTCTTGTATTTTGTTTAGTTACTTATGTTTAAGGTTAGGGCTGGGTAGGGGTTAAGGTGGTCTTGGTTGGGATTAGGGTTATGCCTACAGAAATTAATGTAGGGTCCCCACAAAGACCTAGATACCTAACTTTTTTGTATGTGTTTGGGGTGGGTATGGGCCACTTTGGCAGACTTCCTCATCTTTGACCTTTTGAAGAGGTTGACTGAGGATCATTAACCTCCCATCGGCTGCTGCAGGCTTTATTTTGGGCAGTATGAAGAGAGGGGCTCCCTGTGCAGCTGTGACAAGCTGATGTCAGTCAGATGGGCCTCTGTCGGCGCCCAGTACACGCTGATGTCAGAGAGACGGGCCTCTGTCGGCGCCCAGTACACGCCGATGTCAGCGAGACGGGCCTCTGTCGGCGCCCAGTACACGCTGATGTCAGTGAGACGGGCCTCTGTCGGCGCCCAGTACACGCTGATGTCAGTGAGACGGGCCTCTGTCGGCGCCCAGTACACGCTGATGTCAGCGAGACGGGCCTCTGTCGGCGCCCAGTACACGCCGATGTCAGTGAGACGGGCCTCTGTCGGCGCCCAGTACACGCCGATGTCAGTGAGACGGGCCTCTGTCGGCGCCATATGTCCCTGGACATGCTCAGATTAAACATGCTCACGGCTGTCAGATTGCCTGGGTCAAGCATCATGCTCCTGCTGAAACGTACACATGGTTCTTTTTGGGTTGTTGGCTTTGGTTCGTATTGATGTTAGGGCTCCAGAAGACCACTGTGTCTTTCATGGTGACTCGTGTTCCAATCCTGAATCAAGACCAAGGATGCTCTGAATGGCCTCCATCTACTGGCTTTGTGACTGTGGTGCACATTTTCTCAAAGGCAGTGCTTCCAGGGAAGGTCTGAATGTCTCCTGGAGAATCTCTGGATCAGCATGTTTTTGGTATTGAAGAATGGAAAGTAGCAGGAGTGAAGACTGAAATGAGCGAGTATGAACTTTCAGCCCAAAAATGTCATTGCCTTTCGGGTAAATGTTTCATTGTATGCTCCCTCTCTCTCTCCCTCTCTTTCTCTCACTCACACACACAGGTTTGTAATTATCTTTGTGGGGACTCTCCATTATTTCTATGGGGAAAACTCTAATCCCAATATGACAACCTTAACCCCTATCCAACCCTAACCTAAGTAACCAAACAAAATACCAGACTTTTGGAATTTTTACTTTTTTTGATTGCATTGAGAGTTCTATAGATATCATAAAAACCTGTTATTCTGACTTTGTGGGGACCATTTTCTCAGGTCCCCACAATGTCAGAATAACAGGTGTGTATGACATTGTGGGGAACATTTGGCCCCCACAATGTAATATAAACATGATCACTCACACACACACACACACACACACAATTACACACAGACACTGAGATAGCCATGAAGGTTGGAAATGTTTACTTGGAAAAATAGATGTGAGAAATACTCTATACAGCCAAGAGCATGTGGACACCCCTTGTTAATGAGAGGCACTGGCTAATTAAGGCAGACCCATGGCTGACACAGATGTATAATTAAGCTCAGGGCCAGGGAGTCTCCAGCGACGTACATTAGCAGAATGGCTGCAGAAGAGGCTTGTAACTTCCAGCTCGGCACCATCACTGAAGTCAGGTTGCTAAATGTCTCCACTGCTGGAGCCGACCTGGTTAGGAGCAAGTTCAGCTGCAAAGTGATGTATCATGCAGACTCCCAGAAAGGGACCTAATCCCCCAACATCAATATCCACCCGGAATGGCAACCCACCGGCAATGTTCCAGCGTCTAATGGAAGCCGGCCCAGGAGTGTTCTTATAGCAACAGTCAGCTGACCAACTTCTTAGTAATGACTTTTGGTTTCGCAGTGAGATGTTGGTACTTTTGGCCTTTATAGTGCGTGTCTGAGACGCCCCTCTATCTGCACATAGTGGCAGAGATGCTCAGTAAGAGCTTTCCTGTAATTCCTCTATGGAAACTTGCTCTGACAGTCTGTCCTGCAGTAGCCACCGTGATGTTGCCTTAACCTCATGGATATGGCGCTGACTTCCGGGGGGGGGGGGGGCAGGGCAATTGCTGTCCCAGTACATGTCGTATGTAAATTTGGGAGCTTCATTCACATGTGTTGTGCGAGAACTGACTTTGCGAAGCTCAGTGTGCGAGAGATGTCTGATGCCGTACCAAAGTCAAAATTCATATTTAATGTGCAGTGTGAAATGGTTCTGGAATAGTGCACACGTAATATGAGGGCAGTCTTTTAAACTGAGCTATAAATTCAGCTTTTTACTCTTTGCACGTTTTACATATAATATTGCACTTAATTTTGATAAGGTCTCCAATTGACCAGATAAATTACTAATCAGGTTATTGGATTCTAAAGTGTCCATAAATTATGCTATCAAGTAAATGTAACCTGAAGCCCCCCACCCTGCCCACTCCCCCAGCATTAACACTGTAATTATTGCTCGTGTGGGATTTTTGTAGCTGAAACTTTGCTCGCCATATTAGGTACCGCTGTGAATCAGCTGGCTTTTGCTCTAGTTTACACTGTGTGTCTGTCGTTTGTAAATGTTTATGGCGTCTGGAGACCTGGAGGCCAGCTGATGATTAAAAGGGCCCAGAGATGCTCATCATGGTCACACCGAACCTGCAGCGGCCATGAGGAGATAAAGGAGAAGGCCGATCTCTCCCGGCACTGCAGGGCACATTGTGTCCGTTTGTGAAAGTCATTGATCACTTTCACTTTGTCGTCCCTGTGTTCCTGAGGTCAGCCAGGGTCTGAGTCACCCACTGTGTGTGTGTGTGTGTGTGTGTGTGTGTGTGTGTGTGTGTGTGTGTGTGTGTGTGTGTGTGTGTGTGTGTGTGTGTGTGTGTGCGTGCGTGCGTGTGTGCGTGCGCCTCTGTCCATCGGTCCTGGGTGTCCTCTGTTCTATGCCCTGTGTTCAAGTTACCTTCTCATAATTGGCTGTGACCACACAGCTCCTGTATAACTTATGCCGCTGATCGTCACGATTAATATCGTCGAGCTGCGAGGCGTCAGCCGAAAGCCTCTGAGATGCCTACAAGCCTGCCCCGGCTTTCTCCGCACCCCTCTGACCTTGTCCCCCTTTCTCGGCAGTATCAAGATGGTCTGCATGTGGACCAGCGGCGACACCTTCAAGACGGCCTACTTCCTGCTCACCCAGGCCCCAGTGCAGTTCTGGGTTTGCGGCCTCCTGCAGGTCTTCGTGGACCTCGCCATCCTCTTCCAGGTCTACTACTACAGCCGCTACCCCCAGAAGCCTGTGTCCCACACGGCCCACACCACCAGCGCCAAGGCTCTCTGAGCTCCCCCCTCCCCGGCTAGGTGGGGACACTCATTCCACCCCTCCCTGGGCCACACAGGCATGCCATGGCAATTGCCATGGGAGGGTCTCTTCCTACTTTTTATAACCAGTCCTTTAATATTATACGCAATCTATTTGGGCATATGTCAGTTTGTGAGCAGATTATAAATATGTATAGTTGTACTTGCACACACCGATGATTTGTACATATGTATACAGTGCACAATGTGTGTGTTTGTAGCGTAAACACTCGTAATATGGATGTTTTCCTAACGCCTGGCCTGCGTCTGTAACGACTGCTGCATGCAAACCTTGCCTTAGATAATTCCTGAAGGGCTGTCCCGGCTTTGGAGCGTCGGGAAAGAAGCGGGTGCCACATTGGAAGAACACCCCCCCCCAGTAAACTGTTAACTCTTCTGTAGGTTTTTAACAATCCCGACAGTCACGACTTCCGACGCCATCGTCGCACAGTCCCGGTGGGGACCTGGTTACTCTCGTCGTTCCGGGCGATTTAGAGAGCCCTGCTGAAGTCCGGGGGCTCAGTCGCCTTCAATCGCAGCTATACCAAAAAAGGCCATGACCCAGCGACGCGCACACAACAGCCAGTAGGGGGCAGCATTACTAAGACGTCAATGTGTCAAACGTGTTAATGATAGACTGTGACAGTCGAGCCAATCGGATCCATGATGCGCAAGCTGGCTCATTTCATTGGAGGTTTAGTGATTAGGTCTCATGGTGTCAGAGTCCAGCCATTCACCTGCAGCCATTTCTAGATGACTCCGTGTGTTGCAGGATAGTATATTATTTTCATTATTATTTTTAATTACTTGTGAGATATGGGCATGGGTTACAATAGTTAATGTGTGGACAAAAGCCAATTTAAGCCTGAACTGCATAACCACTGTTATGCTGCAGGTAAGAGAATGAAGGTCTGACCTCTCCCAGGGCGGCAGACCTTCTGGCGGTATTCGGAGTGGGCACCAGCGGTCATTCGCTCCCGTGTCCATGGTTACCCTTAGAGGTTCAGCTTTCAGGTTTTGGATAAATAAATCTGTTGGTCACATGGATTTGGGGCATTCGCTAATCTCATTTATATTATTCCTGAGGTTGTTTCTCCATTCCAAAGGATTTTTGGAGACTTGCGTTTTTCTGTATTTTGTGTTTTTCTTAGAATTTTATCTTTTTGTTTTATACATAATTTTTTTTTTTGAAAGAGCATATCACTTTGTAGTTATGGATGTGACCATCCTTTATGTTACACGCCATTAATGCGCTCCTGGTGAGCTCACTCACCACATGCAGGTCACTTAAAGTGCACGTATGGCCTTCGCTAGCCGGTAAGGCCATCTCCTTCCCTCTCTATCATCCATGCCCCCCCCTCTTTCCCTTTCTCCCTCCCTGCCTCTGTCTCTCCATCTCTTTCTCCCTCCCTCTGCTTCTTCCTTACTTATATCATAACGGTCTGTCCTGGTTTCACCTCGGTTCAATCCAATTGGGTCTGTAAAGTTTAGCACATCTCCCGTATCTGTACTGTCCTCCTTTCACGGAGAATTCTGGAAAGATGTCAGTGTTACTTTAAAATGGAGTGTTTAATGTGAATGTGAGAGCTGAACCGCAAACCTGCTTCCCTGACAGAGCGGCCAAAACAAAGTCGCTCTCGCACTTCCGCTTTTCTGATGCTTCACGTCGCACCCACGTATCCCGGTTCTGTGGGGGGGGGGACGCTCCAGCTCCCCAGACCTGCCTCGGGGTCACACTGCCTCTTCCCTCCTGCACTTTCAAAGTTAACCTTTGACACTCCACCTTACCCTGTGCTGACCAGAGCTGGACACATCTGTCATTGCTCATGGGAGTTTTACTGATACAAAAATGTTCGGAGGGCTGAAGGGAAAATGATTGGTTCAGAGAGATAACTAGAGGACACGGGGCCAACCAATCAGGTCCTGTCTTGGTCCTGTCTTCTCTAGTTGCTTGTACCCAGAGAGAACCAATAATTTGTCCTTCTCCCTCAGAACATTTTTGTGTAATACTTCCATGAGTTCCATCTTAATGGAGCTGTTCTTTTTAGTCTTTTTTTTTTTTTAAGTTTTCATATTATGTTATTTGAGGTATTAGCCAAATGTGGTCATTTGCTTATGCATTTGTCGTAAATGGGCATGGTAACGGCAGCTGGGTTATTGTCATTTATATCCTAAGTCCCCCCTATAAGATGCAGGGGTTGCCTACATGTGTTCATATACATTTTTTTTTTATAAACTGTTTGTATTCTATGAAGATTCGGTGGGAAGAAAATGTAAAAATAAATAAATAAATAAATAAAAAAGCATAAAGAAATGGTTTGAAAATGTTGCAAAGGGTCAGTAAAGGATTAAAGGTGAACGGATGAGGCTTTCTGTGTGTTCATTTCTCCCGTCTGCTGTTCTTGCTACCAGGTTTTACTCCGCAACACGGCCACACAGTAAAAACATTGTTTTATTACATTCTATGCCAGAAGGTCAGAGCATATTATGATGAGCCGATTTGTTCAAAGCATTTTAGATAAAACGGCTGAAGGATATTGATCTCTGCCGTCGTGTTTTGCGCGTTTTTGAATACTTCTGTGCTTTCATGTTCTCCACCCCCTCCCTCCCCCCCGTAGGCACAGAGCCGAAGGCCCAGGATGGCTGAGAATAAGGGTTGGAGATCCCAGACAAATCTGCAAAATAATCGATTTACCAAAAGTATATGGTTGTTGGTTTCCGTCACTGCAGATTATATCTGACTTTGTTACGGAGCTGTATTCGTCCCATGGGCCTGCTGAAAGTAAGATCCATGTTACACAGTTTCCCTGCAAAGTCATGAGGTTGTTACTCCAGCGTCCTGCAGTCTGCTGCCAGCGCGGTCTAGGTTCTGTCTAAATCTATCACTGTAGCGTTCCCTGCTCCAAGATCATCTCAGCAAAAGGCTCTTGTGCTTGATATTAATGGCAAATATTATGACTATTCCTCCGCATGGAAATGGAACCCTTTATGTAGCTAATAAAGAATATCTAATTAATGGCAATGAATTTAGGCTACCGTCCGTGTGCTCGGATGTTCAGCTGAGCTGTGCCGCCGCTGGGGAATATTAAACAGGGTTTCGGTGTCAAATAAAGTTTTAATCTGCACACAGTATGACTTAAAAAGACAGAGCAATGACATTTTGTAAAATGAGCTGATCCTGAGTCTACTGCATCTAAATCATTCAGCAAGTATAAATGCTTCATTTATATACATTAGCTTATTATTGCAGAATATTATACAACTTTTTAGTAAAACTTTTGTTTTTACATTATGGGTTGAGTTTCAAGCTGCTGTTTTGTAAAGAGGATTAAAATTCTTTAAAAAAAAAAAAAAATCAAACCCACAACAACTTCTAATAGTTGTCTATACTGAGCAGCCAATGTACCCTTGGGGAGGGGGGCGGTACCAGTCCTTCCTTCATTTCACATCCACCTTCACCTCATTTCTGAACCCTCAGGCTGTCTGATATCCCCTGAGCATGTCCACCACTGGCCACAGGAGGGCGTTTGTTAGGCGTTTGATGACTTCCTGTTTTCCACAGCTCTCTGAGCCGCCGCGACCGTGGACTTCCTGTGTGCTGCGGCCTCCATCATGGAGGGGAAGGAGCTGTCCGTCTCCTGCGAGTCCTCGCTGTTCTGCGACTTGGTGCTGTCGTGGGAGTCCGGCTTCTGCCGGGATGCCCTGCTCTGCTCCTCCTTCAGCTCCAGGTAGGAGCGCGAGAAGGTGTGGAAGATGGAGGTGACGGGAAAGGCCATGAGCAGGATGCCGCTCAGGATGCTGCTGAGCGCCACCACCTGGCCGGGGATGCTGCGCGGCACCATGTCCCCGTAGCCCACCGTCGTCATGGAGATGACGGCCCACCAATAGCTGCCCGGGATGCTGGTGAACTCCTGCTTGGCGCCCATCTCGCTCTCGGCCAAGAAGACCAGAGGTGAGAAGAGCGCCATGGCCACGCAGAGGAAGAGCAGCAGCAGGCCGAACTCGCGGGTACAGCGGCGCACCGTCAAGCCCAGCGTCTGCAGGCCCAGCGAGTGACGAGCCAGCCGCATGACGTAGAAGATGCGCAGGGCCCGCAGCACCCGCAGCACAAGGCCCACCTTCTCTAGGTAGTTGTTCCCCGAGCCGGCGGGCCTCTCGCCTGCCGACAGCGAGTCCACGATGAGCGTGATATAGTAGGGCACGATGGCCACCACGTCGATGATGTTGAGCGGCGTCCGCAAGAAGAGGCACTTCCTCTGCGTCTGGATGAAGCGCAGCAGGAATTCCAGGGAGAACCAGGCCACGCACACCGTCTCCAGCACGAAGATGTTGCGACACCGCTGGGAGCACTCGCCCTGGTGGGGGGGGGCACAGAGCGCACAGTGAGCCACTCCCCTGAGCCGGGGGTACGGCCCCCCGCCCTCCACACCCCGCAATGTCTCAAATCATATCAGACTCTGTGTTTCAATAGTCCTTCCATACTTAATATCAATATTTACTTGCTTGAAGTAGTAAGAAGAGTAAAAGAATAATTCTGTCTGGCCAATAAAAAAAAACCTGTAAGTTAGCCAGTCTGTGGAAATATCCTTCAGACCGATTTTAATTCCCCCTAAATTTTATGGCCGCAGTTATTCTTGAATTTCATTAAGTTAAGTACGTTCCGGTGGCTGCAAATTTGCAAATTCCCTCATTAATTTTTGTCACCCTACCATATCTCAAACGTCACTGTGTAATTAATCTTTGATTGCAGTAAAGTGGCTTGCAAACATTTGAGGGTGTAATTACCAGTGATTATTCCTTGTTCTCCTAAGGACCAGGGCTGCCCATTTTTGGTGCCTGTCTGCCAGACATGCTGGCCTTCTGGCGCCGATCAAATGCTGGGCTTTGAAATCCGATTTATTTGTCTGGAAAAACATCTGAGCTTTTCCACATTTTATCCAGTATCAGCTGTTCTATAGATGTCTTTTAATTTATGAGGATTTAGATGGATTTTTTTAACCAAAAAAAAACTCATCTGCGCTCTCCAATAGAGGCTAAAACTTAATACTATGGAAGGAAGAGTTTTTAAGTGTCATATTTCTGGCCGGATTTGCTTGAGGAATACAGAGTAATGGGATGGGAAGTCAGAATTCGGAATGTCAGATTAGAGACAGATATCCAGGTTTAAGAGGAACTTCTTACATTAATTCCTACAGCAAAACCCAAGGGGATCCTACATGCAAACACTTTAGCCGTCAAAGTAAAAGTTAAATGGAATTTTTGCATAATTGGCACCATGGGACACGAAAGATCCAGGCTTCTGTTTGATCTGGATTGTAAAAGGCTAGAAGGTCATGCTACTCTGTTTTGTTTTTCTATGTTGTTTCCCTCCAAAATATGTTCCCCTGCAGCTACACAAGCATTGCTTATTTGATCAATGTTGACCTCTCATCTGTTAATAATGAAGTCTCCTCTCTTCACAGGTTTAAAACCCCAAGTGTTCAATAATACCTGAAACATTGATAAGTCACCACACAGTTGCCAAGTTTTGTAGTCAGAACTACAGTGTTAAATTAGTATCTGACTGGTATGTTTGGAGATATGAGAGATACATCAAGGACAGCAATTCAGTTTCAGTTTTTATCTCAATTTGTTTACATTTTCTGGTTCAGTCTAAAGGTCTGAATTTGACAAGAACTGTCATGCTGGAAACCTGAGAGAACGAGGGATTTAATCATCTGACGAGGTAAAGTTGATTAACAGCAGCTAAAACCTAACCCTACCAAGGAGGCAGGAGTAATTAACGAATTAGTCGATTTAACGGGCATTAAACAGGGCTTCCACAGCCCCATTTAAATGCCCTCAAATGATGGCCAAAGCAGCTTGCAGATTATTTTTTTAAGATGTTCATGCTTGTGGGAGCTGGTTGTGAAGGTAATTCAATCAGCAGACCGTTCACATGTAGGCTTTCATTCAGATTTCCACCCTGAAATAAAATAAGGAATTCATCATTAATCCCTTTCATATGCACTCCAGCCTAATCTCATTAGGGTGTTATGATTCTATTCTGTTACTTGGTAGTTGGGCTTCATGCCATTGAATAGACTGACTGGCTGATTGCATCGACATTCTGACCCATCTCTGCCCCGTTCCTGATGCCATTTGGGAATGGGCGATTGTGTCCCACCATTGGCGCCCCTACAGAAACACGCGCTTGATCACCACAAACTCCCCGACTAGCTGAGCTCACACGATCACCATTTCTCGAATACTGGAGAAAGTTTCGAGTAGATTTCATTTACCAAACGTGTATGTCTCCACATCTCTTATCTCGGTATGAGCTGTAATAATCAAATAGATCATGGAATGGGAAGCTTATCT